ACAGACTCCAGGGTATGGCTCAGTGATTGCCCCTACAAGATGAGAACTACTGTCCAAAGTCTCCAAAGCACATTGGCTGCATGGTAAGGAGTGGAACTTACACAGGCATGCAGGGTGGACACTGCTGACTCTAAAGCAAAGGTGCAGGTTACTATTGTACCATCAGGCCAGACACAGTTATATATTCTCTTGCCTTGGCTTGGGCACATCCAAATAGATCTATTCATCCCCACATCCTTCTCACTAGTCCTCTCTCCCCAATGCCCTCACCCATATTTCCTTGGCTCTTTCATAGGACAAATAGGCCATTTTCTCTTCAGTGCATGCCAGATGCTGTTTGAGGTGGCAAATCTCATCCAGGTATCTCTGCAAGTGATCATTCACCTGTTCTTCCATCAGTGATTGTCTAGGATACAAGAGAGAAAGTAACACTCCCTCTGTACCCTTACTCAGAGTTCATGCTGGCAGTGAGTACCCTGAAGCTGAATTTACTAACAACACCCATACACACACACACACACACACACACACACACACCTAGAATTCTGTCAAAGGGGCTGGATCCTCTATCTCTGCCTCGGAATACTTACACTAATAGATCTTACTAATAATTATTATCTACTATTTTACCAAGTGTGCAATATACTAGAAAGTATAGAAATGAAATTTTAAGCTATCTGTATATGCTATCAACTCCCCCAAATGCTCCCAGGAGCAGTGTTGAGGATGCAATAGTTACTCCATAAATGAATCTTTATTATAAAGACCATATTGTATAAAGTTCCATTTGTATGCAATCCATAAACATGAGTCATATGAGTGGGTGCCAGGAGTTGGGAATCAGGAGTGACAAGGAATGACTGCTAGTAGGGTTTATTGTTTCAGGGATGATAAAATGTAAGATTGGGTAGTAGATTAACTCTCAATATACTAAGACCCCACTAAAATTGTACACCTTGGTAGGGAGATAGAATCTCACACTGTAGCCTAAGCTAGCTTTGAACTTGTGATCTTCCTGCTTCTGCTTCCTGAGTGCTGGGATTGCAGTCATGAGCCACTAGACCAAGCTAGACTATTCTTTAAATGAGTAAAATGAATGTGATGTGAATTATAACTCAATAAAGTTATTTAAATAAAAACAAACATTGGGCCCTTCTGCCCCTGCCTGCTCCTCCCGGCTGGAGCAGACACAGAGTAGGTCTGCTCCCGTCCTGTGGAGAAACTGAATCCTGAGTCATCCAGGAGCCACTGCACTCAGAGCAGCTGAGATAGATCGGGGAGCCAGGGACATCCAGGGCACAGCAGCTACCCAAACCCCG